GCTGCTCGCCGCTCCTGCTCTTACTGCTGCTGCTCGCCGCTGTCGCTGCTCGCAAACGCTGCCGCTGTTGCCGCTCGCACCTCCCGCTGCTCGCCGCTCCTGCTCCCGCTCCCGTTGCTTGCCGCTGTCGCCGCTGCCTCCTTACACTCCGCTGCCGCTACCGCTTCCTCTTTTCTCAGTCAGCAGGCTCAGCACCCCTTACACTTCCTTCTTCTCCTTCTGTTAACAGTATACAGTATACTATTAACAGTATACTATATACTATTAATATTGTTAGGTTTATTTGAAATTATTAATTTTTAATACTGTTAATAGATTTTCTTAATTTAATAGCATATTTTAATTTAAAATTTTAAATAATTATATTTATTAATTATATTATATATTTTTATATTTTAGCGTCTCGCTTCGCTCGGGCGAGCGCCTAGCGCCTCGGGCATTTTTGGACCTTAGCGTCTTTTAGCGCCTAGCGCTTTTTAAATCACTGATGCAGCTGCATAGGCTGCTTGAAACAATGGTTGAAATTGAATAGAATTGACATCAAAATGTCCATTTAAATTCTGACATCCATCATCTCAGAAGTACTTATGAATCATTTTCTTGGACAAGTTGCTAGCAATGTCCAGCTCTTATTTTTCTTTTTGCTTAAAGTTACATATAGAGTTGAATGATCTATTGAACTCCAATTTCACAGTCATCAAGTCTCTTCCATACACTAATAAGACACCCGTAGTAAGTCCAGTATCATACCTGAATAAAAAATTTTCCTTCTTTATTCTAATTTCAGCATCCTCTAAAAAGAACACCATTTCACTCCTAAAATACTTTGGTAGAAAAATTACTACTCTGAGAGGGTTGCACTGCCACTAATAAGTCCTCAATAACAAACAACACATCTCACTCCAAAAATTGATCTTTCAGATACTTCCATAGGATAATTTGAAAGTTTTAATAAATCAATCCTGCTCATGGAAAATTGCTTCTATTATGTTAGCCAAAATATCCCATAAAAGTTTTGATTTTTAAATTCCATTAAACCATTTAAGAATTCATTCTTTCATGTCCATTTGGTATAACTGGTAGCCTCAGCAGTTATGGAGCTAAAAGCAAAGAACTTACGCATATGACAAACAATAACTTATGAGTTAAAGCATACATTATTGTGTAATTATGTCAGGCAAAAGATACGAAAACATCATAAGTAAATCACCAGACATATCCAAATTTATACTTTTCAACAATGAGCCAATCACATGTGTATCCACTGATGAAGAAATTTGATGAATCCTTGAAGTTGCAGACAGTTATTTCTTTATAGAAGACATTAAAAGAAATGAACATCACGAAATACCATTGGAGTAGACAGAGCATTCAGCTGTCGAGGCCTGTTAAGTGTCAATATCCTTGTAAACCTGCAGTCTTCTACCAAAACCTATCAAATCCCCAAAAATACTGTGAAAAAACAACAATATTTGGAGAACACTAATATGTAGTTGAGAATAATACAAAGAACACATTTCAGAAGCATAGTGCGATGGACCTCAAAGGAACAATTTCACGATCCAGAAAATTGAGCAAAAAACCCTAGTGCCTTGTGACATTTGTGAAAAATGAAATCAATCTAGCACTAAACCAATGGCCATTTAATTATTAAAAAATCAATAAAATTATAAAAAGGGACCGGACGGAACACCGCCTCAAAAAAGTGCCCAACAAATAATGATTTACTGAGAATCTTGTTTACGGAGGTGCCTTAATTGTTCGTTGTGTTGTTGTCTCATACTATGTTTACCCCCTAATAGGTTTATCTTCGACTTCACCTTCACACAACATACACCATACTAGAGAAAGTCTTACGAGCGTGTGATTCCAAGACCAACAATCGTGCCTGGTTTAATATCATACGGCATTATCTCTCATAAGTAGACAACACACAATTCACAAGAAGTTCTCCTCATCGGCCACACCAAAAAGCCACTTTCTTGCATTTTTTCTCGGACCAAGAAAGAAACTTTCAGGTGGCCAATCAAAACCCACGTTTTAAATTCAACGAAAAACATAAATACCCGGCCAGTGCTCCCTTAAAAGACTGGAAAAGATCACCTGATTGGTTGTGCCGTCGTTGCTAGCGTTTTGTGAGGACGAGGCCATGACGTGTTCGAAAGCCAAAACCTTCCCTTCGCAATCAAGAAACCGGTGAAAGAAGAGACGGAGGGGGGTGGGGGGTGGGAGGGGAGGGGAGAGATCAAAGACAAAGAAAATATCTGATAGAAAGATACTTCCGTACCAAATGAACCAGCGATCAAGAAGGATTGAGGACCGAACCAAATCGAGGGAGAAGGGAAGGAAGAAGGGGATGTCGTCTTTGATACGAGTTTCTAAGATGTCAGATATGCTTCCCTGCTCATAGTGAAATTACAATGATGCCGCTTGATATATTGAATTTTCTTAAAATGTCAGGAACCGTAAAAAAACCCCTTCTTTTTAATTAAAATGATGCCCCTTAAAATAGCAATTATTTTTAAAATTCATAAACCATTAAAAATAAACATATTTTGCAAGATTTATGATAATTTTGAGTTTAAAATTAGGTACAAAATACAACTCCAGTAAAATTGATATGATCATATCTAGGAGAAACACACTGGACTTATACTGCTGCAATTTGAAAAAAATTATATATTGTATTACGAGTGTAAAATAAAATTTTAATAATTCATCGTAAGATCAAGATCATGAGATCAGTTTTATCCTTTGCAAAAAGAATTAGATTTGTCAAAATAGTCAAAAATAAGTTAGAAACCAAAGCAAAGAGAATTGCACACCATGAAAGTGAGAAAGGTCGACTAGATCCTGTCAAAGAGCACACTAGAAGGCTCAGGCACTGTCACACAAGCGGCTGTTGAACGAGATACAGAAAAGCATGATCAATAATATTTGTCCAAACACCAAGATCATAATTTTAGACCTGTTTGAATTGTATACAATCCTGGCATACACACTTCCGATACGACAAAGTAACATTCATAGGTTTCCTTGAAAAGTATCTGTTACCCAACTAGAGTACCATATCTAGCTCCCCCTGTATGTGGTGAATGAAAAGGGTGAATGCAGCAGAGGAACATGAAAGTGTTCTGCTATCTGGTTTTCTCTGACCTGAAACACCAAGCTGACATAAGGAAAGAAGCCAGAGGGTGCATATTTACCGGTGTCGAAACTTATCCGGTAAAAGCCAGGAGTTATATGGTCAACGATGCCCATCAGAGGGCCGCTGCGTCCATCAGTATTTGTTGTCGAAGAGCCTATCAACATCCAGTCGGTGGATTCTCTGTTTGTAAATGATGGGTGCTGCTGAGTTCCTTTCCACATTTCAAGGTGAACCTCCATGCCGGAAGCTGGAGAGCCACGGGCAACATCCAGGACATGGGTTGTGATGGGAGGACGAGTGCGGTGGCTATTACCTGAAATTTCAGTGGTTTTACTGGAAGGTACCTTAGGAATAGCCATAATATGTGCTCCAATGATTCCTAAACGATCTTTTAAGATTCAAAACATGAGTTGTCAGGATGAAGCATGAGTAAAATGCAAAGTTAACAGAACTGGAATCTTTGAAGTTATACTAGCTAGATTAATTTGACTTGCCAGAGTTAACAGAATGTAAATGCAGCAAAGTTAAACACACTCTTTATGCAGCATCACCACTGTCTCTGGTTAAACATTGTCATCATAAAGAAAAAAGTGGCACATATGTTTTCAAAAAAGATGTTTCACAGACCAAATGAAAATGTGGAATCAACTAAGGGACTCTTGTGATATTCCATGATTGACTAAATTGAAATAGCTCAAGGTAAACAGTAACCTAAACTTATATGATATATCTATCTAACATGAGTGAAAAAGTCGAACTAGGCAGTAAGATAAGATCGAATATGTTCATTCCAGTGAATAAACTTTGGACCACATGCAGCAGGGACTACCACTTACAGACCAATGGTTTATGATGAATCTAGAGGTCTTGAGAAACTGCAAACCAAAGAAAATAATTAACCAAAGAAAATAATTCATACAGACCACTTAACCATCCTCCGGATGCAATTAGCAAGTTCCCAAAAGAGAAACCATGCTGAGAAAGATGTCCATCCTTCTTTCCTCTGGACTAGATTACTCCTAATGGTTTCAAGCAACATGAGAGTTTCTTCAGTAAATTTTACATCTACCCAACCACTAATCTATAAGAATATAAAGGATATGTGCAAATGGGCATAACAGTGTGCAAGTGATCTATCCATCTTAACCACACTCAGGCAAAACTAATACATGTCCTTATCTCTAATCACTGGATTCCACAATATGAAGAATCTAAGATCCAATTTCCATATATATAATCAAATGTAGTATGATTGCACCCATAGAACATACTTTAAAAAGACACAAAACATAGTGTAAAAAGCCTATTTTAAACTCAATTTTCTACAGTCTATGCATTATCTCGGTTTTTCGTTTCCTTAAGCAGGATCTATCACTCAACTAACGAACAAGAACAACCGCAGACATTTGCAGATTAACAAAGTAATACATTTTAAGAATGAATTTCCATGTCTTCATCTGACCAAACATTGTTTTTGTAACAACATATACAGAGTTGCCCAACCTCAATTGACAGCTTTGTTTCTCATATCTAAACTATTGATTTTCAACAGCAATTATTTATTCTCAAATAACTCCTATATACATTCAGTTATACAAGTAAAAGTGAGAACAAAATGATCAATTGTGTGACAAAGATAACTGGAAAAAATATATATTGTCCTTGTTTAAAACATCAGGAAAATGAAGAGGTTACTACCTTCTGGTTTAGTTGGTGAACTAACAGGAAGACGAGTTGTGACTGGAATGTTTGATCCAGCATCAGAATTAAAAAGCCTAGCAAGACGCAATTCAGTTATCTTCATCTCCTCTTGTGCTGCTATTTCAAGTTCGACAATGGGCCTATTCAGGTAGCGTTTCTATAGCAAGGTAAAATCAGTAGGTTAACAATAGATACACTCAGAAATTGTCAAAGAAGAGAATGCAACATCAGCTGCACCTAAATTGATAATAAATTCAGAAATCAAATATAATTAGTGTCGACATGCTCATGTCATATTAAGGTTATTCACATCAATAGTGACCCATTTCTGAAATGGGGACAAATTTAAATTACATAACATCACAATATAAGTAGCCTAAACTACCAAGGATTTGAAGGACTAGATGCATAAGAGGAATGAACAACTGTACATGCCACAGTGGTTAACAGAGAACAACAACGAATAGATAATCATGTCAAATGAACTGAATGACAACCAATGCACAGAATATCAAGTAGACAAGCCACTTCTTCACAGGCAACCTACAAACAATTCCACCAGATTGAGATGCCTTTTCTTTCTCCTAAAGCAACCGCATGAGGAACATTTTCATATAAAGTTTTGGAAAAAATTTGCAAAGAGTGAAATTTAGCTAATTCAAAGTTGATAAAATATGGAGAAGTTGCATCATATGCAGAAGAGAGAAGCACAAATTAGCAAACGAGTTAATATTTGCTGACCAGGTACAGAGAAAATGATAAGAGCATAAGAATCAGTTCCTTATAATTAAAAAAACATATTTTAACCAAAAAAGTTTCTTTAGCATCTAGGACCCTCAAAGAGCTTCCATTATGTGGACGTCTACAGTTATCAACATAGGTTTTGAGGCAATGCCATAGGAGGAAAATGAAAGCTTGGATTTGTCCAACAAAGAGTTCTTGACTCTTCTATGAAAATTTGTTCCAAGAGTGTTTCATACCATCCATCTTTATTTCTTCTCTAGATCCTTGAAACCATCCTTATCGATTGCCAAAACATTCAAGAACACTATATCAAATTAACACTTCTAAACAAGTGACTTGGCATCTTTCCGATTTCCGATATATCAATAGATGTAGAAATACAACGTCAACCTACTTTCTTGTTATTGATCCCCTTTTTTCTTACTCTTTCTACAGATTAGGGCTTAAGGGTGTCACTCTTTGGGTATTAAAAAGACAAAAAAAGAATCTCCAAAGCATAAAGAACTTCAATTTTTCAGATGTCTTTGGATGCAGCTACATTCGGGATAAAGATCCATCCTTGCATGCGCATACATAACCACAGGAACACACAGCACAGGATAAAAGAGCCTCTTGGTAGAGGTAGTAGACAAAACATTGATGAGTAGTTCTATGTGGTGGTAAGACCTAACAATATTCCAATGAAAAGATAGTTTAAGTAGCAATAGTATCTTCCATCTTACCATCATTAAAACTGTTATTTGTTGAGGGTAATTGGAAAGCATGATTCAGAAAAACGGTAGTTTGTTCAGAAAAATGAAACCTTTAATTCAGCAAGGATCTCCGGCGTGCCCCTCCCAGATGCGCATATGAGGAACACGAACCCAAACTTCTCCCTGTACCGAGAATTCCATTCCATCAATTCCTACCATTTGAAAAACCAAAGAAGAAGTTAACAACTACTCGACGTAATTATAAGATATTTCAGTAAAACAATAAATGACACATCGGAGGATCACCTGCAAGGCGGAATCGTTAGCAGTAGCCATCGCTGCGGATTGCTCTTCCTTACACCACCTAATCCAATTACCGATCCGACAACTGAATTAGCGGAGAAGGAGAGGCCAAAATTTCAGACAGGGAAGGAAGAAGAGAGATGAGACGAACTGGGAGACGGAAGGAGAGGTGGTTCCGATCGCCGGGTGAGCCGCGAAAGCCTCGAGCCATCCGACGACGTCGACCTACAAGATTCATTAGAAAACAAGAGGGAGATGGAATCACAACAGGCTAGTGAGAAGAACGGGAAGAGGAACTAGGAATAGGGCAAAGGGGAGACCTTGTTGAGCCAGATGTCGCGGGCGGATCGGAGGGCGTGGTCGAGGTCGGTGAAGGGGGAGGCCGAGACCATCTCCTTGGCGAACCTTTTGCTGCCGCAGCAGCGCAGCACGTCCTCCTCCATGCACGAAAGAGCCGTCATCTTTCTCTTCTCCCGTCTCTTCCCCCACTCTCTCTTCTTTCCTCTTCTCTCTTCCTTCTAACACTGCCACTCCTCTTCTCTCGCCATGTGGACATGATGATGATAATTATTATTATTTTATTTTCTGATATTGTTAGGGTTTTTTCCTTTTTATTCTTTGTGATTTTGTTGAAGCTTTAGTCTTTTAAAAAAATAAAAAATAGTTTCTTTATTTTTATTATTGTTTAAATCAAATAGAATATAATCGAAATCAAAATTAAAGATGACAAATTATTTTAGTTCAAGTGAATATTTTTTTATTCGATTAATTAATTTGGATTAATCGATCTTAATTTAAAAAATATTAATTTGATTGAGTTCAATATCATTTCAATCAGATTAATCTAATCAAATCAAAGACCCTAATATCGATATTACCTAATTTTAATATCATAATTTTATAAATATTGTGAGCTCAATTTCATAAATCTTATCGTGTCGATCGAATTGAACCAAGACTTTAATTCGATTCAATTGAATTGAACCGATTGATCGATTTGGCTCTTTTAAAATATATATATATATATATTCTTAAAATTATTTAAAATCATAAAATTTGAAATTTAACATTTAACTGTTCGATTGAAAATAACTTGAACACATGTAACATGTAATAAGTATATAGGGAAAGTTATAAATAGTCTATTAAAGATTAGCTATCTCATCTCAATCCTTCATCTTATTTGATTAAATTTTTTTTTTAATATTAAAAAATTCGAAACAACAAATGAAATGAGGAGTAAATGGGATAAACAAATTTTCTCTCACTGAAAACATGGTTTTTTTCCATAAATTTAAGAAATATTTTACATGTATATCCTTGGAATTTCTAAATTACATATTTACTTATATAAATCTTAAATTACTAATATATCTGTATATATATTAAAATTATTTACTCATCCATTATAAAATATTGGGTTAATCATTAATCATCATTAGGAGTTCAAAAAAATACTGTATATAATAATTAAAATACTCTTATCATCACAATTTGACATTAACTATATATATATATATATATATATATATATATATATATATATATATATATATATATATATATATATATATATATATATATATATATATGTATATCATGGAAAATTTTCCTTCTCTGGTTGCAGGTAACCCTTTGCAAAGGCTTAGTCTTCTCTCTCTCTCTCTCTCTTCTTCTTCTTCTTCTTCTTCTTCTTCTTCTTCTTCTTCTTCTTCTTCTTCTTCTCTTGTTTAAATTACTTAAAGGCCATACAACCATCATAAGGCTTTATATTACAACACCAATATCCAGTTTGATCTTGGAATCTTTTAGATCTCACAGAAGCAATTTATGTCCATAAAACTCAAGGAGAAATAGCACAAAAAATGATGTAAGAGAAGGAACGTTAGCAATTAGAAGTATATGGAAACAATCAGCTCAGAAAACCTGAGTGATCAACAATGAAGTCATTAAATCTAGTAATCAGAAATTATACTACGACAAGAACATTGATATCATCGCATCTGTAGCATCAAGATTCATGCCTATGAAGAACATTTATATCAGCCAACAACAAGCACAGATCGACATGCTCCATAAATCCATAATGTTCAGTAGAAGCAAAGAGTGTGAGGATTTTTATCAAAGTCATAATACAACTGTGACTTGGTTCTTTCACTCTCAGATTTCAGACTTCTAAACTACACATAAAGTTGCATTGTTAAGTATTAATTAACTACTAATCAAAAATTGAAAATGCACAGAAGATAATAAAAATTTAAATATCTTTTTTTTTAAATTGATGTAAATATTGATACTTAATTTTTCAGTCTACATTTGTGTATGTTTTTTTACATATTCATTTTTGGTTAAAAATGATTTAAAATGGCTATGTAATAAAAAGATTTAAATGCACAGAATGAATGACAAAGTATTTGTCATCATCATTCTGGAGTTTTGTATATAATGTAGGATTGGTTGGAGAACACAACACACCTAATCATAGACAAAAATAATCTAAAAGATCCAAGAAATAATCAAGGGATTAGGAAATTTACCTGACTAAATCTCAATTTTTCACTTGAGAAGTTACATGAAAGGATAAAACTTATCATCATATTTAAACAGTATTCCAATTATGAAGACACTAAATTCAGTGCAATTGTGTGCCACTACAACATCTTATGTTGATCCAACGAATCAACAATTGGACAAACTCCTTACATTATTCACTTGCAGTTTTCTCCTCCAGTAATCCTAAACTCCTAATTGAATGATGCAAAACGACACTCTACAATAGAAACATCATCCTCTAAAAAGATCTAATAAGTTACATATATGGAACTTCTTGAAGTTCTTGTGACCAAGTGATGTCATAAGTCACCTATATGAGTATCTAATTTATCATTGATAGGCAATTTTTTTGGGTTAGCTATTCATATTGGATTATGGTACTCTATCTATATCTGAAGTTTCTCATTGAAAATAGTAAATGTTTATTAAGTGACCAAGAACACAATATGGTAAACCAGTTGTAAGCATAAGCCTAATCATGATATTTTGGTAAGGCAGCATATACACATGAGAAATACCAAGGCTGACTCAAGAAGAATGCATCCAATTAAAAATGACCCAAGAATAGAAGATATAATACACATTTTTATACATAGTTGAGATTCAGATTACCTGAAAGGACAATTACATTATTTGTCTAAAACAAGAAGGTATATTAATGTTGAAGTGTGCAAAGGCTGCAAGAAGAGATATAAACAATCTGTGGTTCTATAATTTGGCATGCCAAGTTGACACACAACATTAGATAAATAATTAGATCATGCATGGAAGCAAGAGGATATTGCAAAGTGTTGGCAAACATTCCCATTCTCAATGTAGCACTGCCTTTAGTGCACAACTCAAAGGAATCTTTACATGTAAAAAAACCTTGCAAAGATTTCAGAGCAATCAACATCTTTTTCTATTGTTTTGAGATGCATCAGTGAAACAAAGAGGGTGGAGAAAGTAGGACTGGTTGTCTTTTTATTAAAGGCATGCAGCACAACTGGGATAACACACAGAAGAAACCCTATAGTTCTTTTCCATCTTTCCTAGCTTCCATGATCCTCAATGTTCACAGTAGAAAACTCCATTTCAGAATAATCTGCTTACAAGTGGAGGAAGAGTAGAGGTAACTTTTCTGGAAAATTAATCCAAGTTGAATGCTTCTCAATTAGATTTATCATATTGTAGTAGCAGTTGTACTGTGAGCACAAGATGAGGTGCAGAAGCTGATGCGCATGGAGTGGATGATACTGATGATGATGATGACAGTGAAATAGAAGTGTTTTTATAGGGCCTGTAGGTGGCCTCAAACCCACTCATAAAAAGGAGACTACTTCCATGAGCAACAACAAACAACAGTCTTTGGAAGGAGAGAGAGAGAGAGAGAGAGAGAGAGAGAGAGAGAGAGAGGGAGGATGAAGAGAAAGAGAATATACAGCAACGGATCATCAAACACAGATCAAGAAATGAAACAAGCTGAGTACTTGTACATGGAAATCCTCAAACACGCTTGCTAACCTTTGCTTTGCTGCAGCGGTCGGTCATGGATCAGCTCCACTTATCCCCGTCCTCCATTTCTAGTCCGTGCATTGGTGGGAATCACAGTTACACCATGGCATGTCAGAAAGGCGACCGCCCAGTTGCGCCGCCCGCCCAGCCGTGCCCATCCATCGGCAACTGGCAATTCGCCATGTTGAGCAGCGGCAGATTGAGAAAGGGCAAGCACGAGTGAGGGTCCGGGAAGGGGTTGCCGCTGCCCCCGCCGCTTCCTCCGCTCCCCCCGTCTCCTCCTGATCCTTGCTGGGCTGGGGCTTGCATCTGTAGCGGTTCTTCCTCCTCTAGCGGGAGCCGCTCATACGCGACGTTGGTGAACGACGCGGCTATCACGATCACCGGCCCGGCCGCGTACAGCTCGCCCACGACGTTCCCGCCCACCACCTGCCCCTGGCCCCCGGCGAGGAAGATGGCGAGGCTGGTCGCTCCGGGTGGAGCCGGGGGCGGGAGGAAGGACCCCGACAGCGACAAGATCTCGAAGCGGCCTTGGAGGGTGATGACGCCGCCGGACGCGGAGGGCTGGCGGAGGGTGACGTTGGTGACAGTGCCACTGCCGCTGAAGACGCTGACCCCGCGCTGCCTGCGGCAGGCGTAGGCGGCGATGCAGTCGAAGACGTCGCACCCAGCGCCGACCTCGAGGATGTGCGCCTGCAGGGTGTTGGCGCTCTCCCGGGTGATGATCACGGGGGGTTTGGGCTTGTTCTTGGAGCCCGCCGGGCGGCCCCGGGGGCGCCGGGCCGCCATGTCTCCTGGCCCGCCGCCCTGCTTCGGCACCGACGGGGCGTCATGCTCTGCGGCTCCGCCGAATTGGTCATGCCCGCCCGTACCGCTCGTTCTCTTGTTGCTGTAGTTGTTGTTGTTGTTGTTGCTCTCCTCGTCGTTGGAGTTGGCGTTGTGGTGGTAAGGGAGGTGGTGATGGACGTATCTGGAAGCGGTGCTCAGATCCAATCCAGCCATTACCTCATCCAACAAAAACCACTGTGTGAGAGATAAGCAAAAGAAAATACAAGAGCTATTTTTTTCAGCTTAAAAAAGCGAAGAAAAGGTTTTAAACCATATTTTAAATATATATTTTTTCATTTAATGGTCAAGAAAAGAAAAGGAAGGAAGAACAGGAGGAGAGCAGACGGAGATCAGTGGTGGAGGAAATATAGAAAACACGAGGATGGAACGCAGGGTTAGGAAGAGACTTGCGAAGGGAGACAAGGGAGAAAGAGAGGGGGGTGGGAGAGGTTCCCTAGGGGTTGCAGCAATGCATAAAATATTGGAAAGAGGTAGAGAGAGAGAGAGAGAGG